TTGCGGGGGTCAAGGACACAGGGACGCTCATCCCGGGCCACGGCGGGCTCCTGGACCGGGTAGATGCGATGCTGTTTCTAGGCGCTGTGTTCGTGTTGTACCATCGCATTGGATATCCAAGCCATTATTACCGAGTCATCTCGCATTCATACCAAGACCTGGTTGCCCGGCGCTTCTTTATCTTGGCGGCACAAGGACGAGGATAACAACATCGACAATGTCCTCGATATATATTAAGTGTATATATATTATATACTCCGAGTATATATATTGGTATATATGTTGAGAATGTGTGTGGGCGATTGGAGAGGTCGCCGTCCGCATCAAGGCGGGGACTGCTTCCTTCAACGTCAAGGTAAATATATATAGTGCCGTATGGTGCATTCCGATTGTCTTTACGTACACGTGGATGGCTAGGCCGTTGTTGTCACTCCCGTGAAGGATAGACAGGTAGATGGTAAATTCAGAAGTGATTATATGAAGTTGGGTTCGCTTTGTAGCTTAGCTAAAGAAATGCGCTCACTAGCTAAATGTAAGCTACTTGGCTACGTCCGAATTCATATTGGTAAATAAATAAATATATGTACGCAGATGTTTGGATGTGGCCCAAAGGGTTAAGTATGGAGTGAGCCAATCAGAATCCAGTATTCGGGGAAAATCACAGTTCTGAGATGTCAGAGAACTTGAAGTCCCTTGTTTCATGGTTTTCGCCGGACAACACTTCCCCCATGGCTTACTCCAACGTGAAATAGGCCTTGGCCATCTGCTTGATGATGGCAGAGGTCCCTTCTTGGCGCAGAACTTCTTGAACGTCACAGAAACGTCTTCCTTGATGGTAGCCGCTGGCTCCCAGGAGTTCTCGACGTCGTTTAGGCCGCGCCACTTAAGCAGCACTTCATAGTCCTTCTTGGCGGCCACATAACGGGCATCCACGATGGCCTCCACCTCGTAACCCTCAGAATTGTGGGCCACGTGCTCCTTGAAATCTTCAGACACATGCAAACTCTTGTCGGCATAGAACTTGAGGCGACTGACATGGGCTTCCCTCTCGTCACCAGTGATGAGGTTCTTGACGTCGTAGAGCCAGCTGCTGGTCACAGCTGTCATAAAAGCTGGGCCGCACCATGTGGTCCGCAAATTGGCACGATGGTGCTGCCACACGTCTTGATAGAGCACGTAATCTCCAACAACGAATTGGGCCATTTGCATGCCTCGCTTCTTGTTATGGGCCTTGCGGGCTCGGTCACGCTTCAACGAATTTGTCGCATTCATCTCCTTGTGCATAGCATCCAGGGCTTCACGCGCTCGGTCGATGTTGGCACGTTGCATTGACTCTATCTCCGCCAACGTAGCAGACTTGAGAGAGCCATGTGACGAAACGATGACATGGCGGCGATGGCAACCGCCTTGGACAATATGCATGCGACAGTGTTGGATGTTTCGACAAGAAGGCGTCATTGCGTCTTTCAAGATGCATTGCCGCCGCTGACAGTTGAACCATGCTATCAACACCGTGGATTCGATGGAGGCGAGTGTGTCCGACGATGCGATGACGAAGAAACTCAAGAGCTTGTACAATGTCAATGTACTCCAGGCAATGATGTGGTCAACCGAGGCGTGGGCGGATGTCACGACTGCGATAACTCAAGACATGCTGGTATTGTTCCCTCTAAGACGTTGATGTTTGCGGTTGACATGGTGTATCGGCAATTCGATGTCAGTTGATTTGATTCTTATCACTTACCACTCTGGTCCGTATTGATTGTCACATTGTTTTTGACGTGATGCCATTCGTCTAAATTTAGAGAGATTAGTTTGTAAAATCTGTCGCTATTTTTGTAGCGAACCACAAATTAACGAGTCATCTACATCTCCAACTGTAAATTCTAACCTACGGTATTGCTAAAGGAGAGGTTAACTGTAAAGTCAAACTTCGTTTTTTCGGTTGCTCTTTTGGCACTATCCGGACTTTTTAGAAATTTCGACTCGAATTTCTATTTTCGCGTGAAATAGCTACAAACCCTCCGGATAGTGCAAGGATTTCTATTCTATATCCGTAACTTCGAATTGAAATAGAAATAAAAACACCGTTGGAGATGATAAAGTGTGGATTATTTATTTGCAGGAATACTATGTACTTGAAGTACACTACCGTTAGGCTTTTACAGTAGTACTCGGATTAGTTGGCATTTGAACTCGGTGCAATTAATCTCGTGTTGAAAGGCGAGGCAAAACACAGCAGACCCTCCTTGGGAAATACTTCGAAGTACACGTTTTACACTGCAATGTGGGATTTAGGGTGATTTCCATAAACCTACGGTAAGAGCCTGTTCCAAGTACTTTTCAAAATGGGCATTATCCAATCAAAACGCTACCCAACTCATTCCAAAATCCATTTTTCAAAATGGGGTACGTGACCCCATTTCATCCCATTTTGGGCAACTCAGCTATTTCCCCAATCACTGGCTAATAATGGATGCCTCACTATCCAATCATTGGTCCCAATCTCATTCCAACTTTTCAATGTGGCATGATGCACTCGACCACTGCCGTGTGTGTTGCTATCGTTGCTGCCTTGGCGCTGCGCATCAACACTGTTGTCGTACCCAGTACCATGTGGTGTTGGCATTGAACGCAAGAGTTGGAACTCAGCCTCTAGCTCGGCTCGGATACACTTTTGCGAACCACTGGGTTTGCTGGGCTGCATTTCCAAAATGGATATTTGACTGTGTTATTGACCAATGAGTATGCATCGTAGTCTAATGATTTATTCATGGTCATAGAATAGGTAGAAAATGGGACGAAATATTTTGTCACCCCATTTTTCGTTTTTTTCCATTTCTACTTGGAACAGCTCTAACAGTTGGTCTAACCTGATAGAGATCCATCGGTCAGCAATCCATATTTCCACCGGGTTTGCATAGGTTTCATGGAGCTCTTCGCTTGCCAAGCCCAGCATGATGCCGTTACAGTCTTACAGTCCTGCAGATAACGTTTGTCTGGAGCTGACATGACGGACTGAGAAATACAAGAGACTCGACGTTCGATGAGAAAGATGAGTGACTTGTCCCAGCGCTAACTTTATGAAACCGCTCATGGTTGACACAGACCAGTACTGGCTGGATGGAGTTTAAGGGAAACTAGAGGGGAGTGCAAAATGACGACGGAGCAGAGTACAATTGTAAGCTCTGGGTTAAGTACTGTACCGTGGAACCCTTCTAGTTTACAACCACGGAAGGATTATCAACAAGTCAAAATTCGGATAATGGAAAATCGTTGCTGGCTGGCCGACTTCAAGTATAACAATTGGTTAAATATTACTTAACGAAGTACAAGATAGGGGTATCAGAGTACACAGGGAAATTATGTAAAAAAATAACTCCTACAAATGGCAAGATAATATATTATCTACAACAAAACCATTTCAGTTGAACTGAGGGCGACAACAACATCGATGTCCTGTGCTGGATCAATGGTTGCCTCAACTACCATATCCGCCATCAAACCAGCAATGTCGCCGTCATCCACAACACCTGCCTCGACGACAGCACCATCCACAAGGTGGCATTTGCGAAAGCCGTTCAAAATGACACCCTCAGGTATATCATTCCACGCTCCAGTGACCCACTCAACCACAGTTGATCTTGATGGACCAGCCAGTTTCAGGTTCAAATTGGCTGCTCTGCTGTTCCTGAGCTGACAACGAATTTCCACAAGCCAACGTTCATGCAGCGTTGCCTGCGGACGAATCCTAACGCCGGGGCATTTACAAATACTATTAGTTTATTGTAGAGGAGAAAGCGACAAGTAAGCAAGAAACCGAAATTACCTTATATAAACACAATTCACAGGGCAGAATGTATGTATCACATCGCAAGGCACGTGAAGGGCCACGCACATCAATTTATCCTCCATAGACTCTCCAAAGCTCGTTCAACCGTCTCAATAATGCTATAACGCTTAGTCAATCTGTGGTCGGCCTGTGCATTCTTCAGTCCAAAGCAGTTACCGATGACTTGGTCCTGACCGAGGTACCGAATAAGGTATATATATATTTGACTCACTTGGAGTATCCGTAATGGCTGGGCGTAAAGTGCGTGGAATAAACGAAGAAGCACTCTTTCCTTGCAATCGGACTCCATGCGGCAGTCCGTGCCCACCGCCACCTGCGCTCCTGATTGGACCTACGACGATGTCCAACAGGGTCAGATGACCACTGACGTCGAGGACGACCAGACAGGGCTGCAAGCGGCGCGCCAGCAGTTCAAGGGCGAGGTGGTCGAGCCGCCC